GCTTTCTCTGTGAAAAGATATCTGCATCTCATGATATCAATGTCTGCTCTTTTATCACCCTGTGAGCAAAGTCTTTCAATGAGCAAGGCCAGTCCTGCCAGGCTCTGATGGTCAGAGTCAGCTCTATATGAAGCCAAGACAATGTTTTGAAAAATAAAATATAATAATAACGGTAATTCCTCAAACTGGCTGTTAGAAATTGTGTGGGTCCAAAAATGGTATTTTTACAGTTGCATTCAAAAAAGAAACCTAACTTTTGTCAGAGTGGTTGCTGTCTATAAACATAACTTTTGTCTTCCACGTCTTAACCTTTTGTTCTAGCGATTGATAGTGAACTAAAAATCAGGCAAAACTTGAGGCGTAGAATAAGCAGTGCCTAAGATGAGAAAAAAGATAAAGAGCTGCGTGGCATTCCTTGGGGGAAAGAAAGGCAGCGGCTTACCTGCAGCAGTTCTTGGACGCGTGTCAGCTTCCCGCAACGAGGGCCCTTCCTGCGGCTCCGGCACCAGCCTCCCGCCGCCCGGTTCCCGCTCCTAAGCCCTTGCGCCTCTCTGCCCCCTACTCGCTTCCTTCAGTCAGCCTCGCGGCCTGTTCCTTTCCTTCACATTCTCTCACTTTACGCACCTGGTTCAACATTTCATTCCCTCTTGCCTGTAACAGCAAAATAGCCTCCTAACTGCTCTCCCCGCCCCGCCCCTGCCGGCTCCCCGTTCGGCGCGGCCTCTCCGCACGACCACTCGCACCTGCCCACAGGACCACTTGATCATATCACTTCTCTTCCAGGGCTTCCCGGGGAAAACTTACACTCCATGGCTACAGTTCTTTCATCAATTCTGATTTACTTTTCCAGGCACATTTCCCATTAACTTTTTATATATTTCCCGAATTGCAAAATTAAAGAGGCACTCACTCCCAGGTGCTCACACTGCACCTAGATGATCTTAAGAGTGAGGGCCTCCGTAAATTCTTCACCCTAGGTGCCTACCTGGCGCCACCCTCAGTTCCTACGGTATATTTTGTAGGGAGACAGCCTTGGCCAAGGAGGTCCACCACTTGATCTCCCTTCGAGAAACAACTTACAGAACACTCGGGATCTGCCTCAACTTCTGAGTCAGACAGATGCTTTTCCTGGGAACCACCACTCAGTGGCTACACATGTTAGGGGCAGTAGGCCTGGCCATTTCTGTACAGCACGCGGCTCCTTTAATATAATAAAAGGCAATCTCCCCTCTGGAGGCCACTGAGTTAGATGAGACTGTCAGATCTGCATTGTGGTCTGAAGCAGAAATGGCTTCCTCCTTTTATTTACCTTCCAATAAACTACTTACTCAGTAATTCTGCCCCAGTATATCTGTTCCCAGAAGACATAAATGACATATCTAGTCAGCAACTGGTCATGCCAGCTTGGACCTGGAGCTGGAGGTGGAGTGACATGCTGAAGGGGCCCTGCCACGTAGTCGTTACGAGGCTGGACTCCTGAGTTTGGGTTCAAATCCCAGTTCCACCACTTCTGACCTTGTATAACCTTGTACAAGTTATGTAACTTCTCAGCACTTCAGTTTCTTCATCTGTAAAATGAGGGTTTTAATAGTAAGTGAGGACTAAGTGAGATAACGCATTTTAAAGTATTTATCACAGTGCCTGGCCCATAGTAAATGTTCAAGAAATATTCATTTTTATTTTATAGACTTAGAAATGTCATTTACCGAGGTTGTTGGGTATAATAAAATCAAAGAAATTTTCATTTTCTTAAAGAATTTGACAAAGGATATAATAAGGCTAACAAGAATTAATTAAAAACATTTCTTGGTTGGAGCATCGCCCCATGCACAAAAGGCTATGGGTTTGAACCGATCAATGTTTCTCTCTCACATCAATGCTTCTTTCTCTCCTTCTCTCTCTCTCTCCCCCCCTCTCTAAACATATCCTCAGGTGAGGTTTAAAAAGAATTTCAAACCCAACCCTGTAATTTTTTTCAGGTTCACTTCCTTTTATTACAAATGTGGCTCCTCTCCTCTACCCAATGTCACCACCTTGCTGTGTCCTGCCCTGAGCAGCTGCTTCCCATATTTCTTCCCCTCCCCACAAAGTGCCTACTGTCATCTCTCCACCAGGTCCCGCTAATATGCTTCTTCACAACCTGGCTGAGAACTCTCCTTCTCCAGACTTTCCTTGACCAGCCTTCCCTAACCTCCCCAACTGTGATCATTGCTCTCTACTGGCAAAGCCTAAGAACTGTATCATTTTGAAACTAGAACAAAAATTAACTAATTCCCAAACCATGTTCAAGAGGCCTGTGCCTCCATAAACAACTATTAGTAATGAAATGGCTGGAACAGCCTCTCCCTTTCTTTAGACAAGCCCTCCCCCTCCCACCTACCCTTCTGCCCAAGGCTAGGAGAAGCAATGCTCAACAGCTGCTCGCTTAAAGGACCAGTGTTTTCCGCTATGGATGCATGGTCAGTCTGCAAACTATGTTTTATGTCCATTCTCCACTATTTGAGCCTTAAAAAAACAAATGTTTCATAAGACAATCTCAGTTGTATAAAGGGAAAACAATTATATGGGGGAAGTGTTTTACAATCATTTTAGGTATTGTAGTTAACATAAGTCTGTTTTATAAAACAAAGGCCTGGTCTATAATACATTTAAAAGCCAGTAGGAAATCATAATTAGAGACAGATGGCAATCGTGGCATCCTTTCCTCTCACTGTTTCATACATATGATATTCCCTACAAAATGGCACTGAATGTTTTCCTGTTAGCACACAGTGCCATATAAGCTCAAAAGCATCAAACCTCTTTTTATGCCTATGAAACTGACTTCGAACAAAATAACCAAATTCGAAAGTAAGTGGTTAGTCTGGAGTTGAATGGAGTGAATGTTTTTAAATAGCTTAATATTTGTATATATGCATTAATGCGCATTGCATTGCACACCAAAAAAGTATTGCAAAGCTTCAGCCACCCTGGCCATTTGGTTCGAAGCCTTCATCAAGGTATTCACATCCAAAGCGAAGATTTCTCCATCGAACAGGCCATGACCTTAGGTGTATTTAAATATTGTAAATGAATAGAACCTTAAAAAAATCCATCACGCACAGAGCAATGCATGAGTATAACAAACATTAATAGCTTACACAGGTTTTTAATGGCTCCTAATATAATGTGCCCTTTCAAGGAACCCTTTGTACATACTGAAGCGCATTTTTACTGTCCTACTTGGAGTAATTATGAATTGAACATGGTTGATAAAATAAGCTTTACAAGTTATGTAATTTTTAAATATACTTAATCCTCTGTAAGCACACAGCTATATAAATGATAAAATATTAGATCTTGAATGCTAAAAAGTAAAAGCAGTTTTCACACTGACTTTCAGGAATATACATTTTTATTGTTACAGTTCAATAAACTATTTTACCAAAGTTTACAATCACCTCCAATTCAAAACAAATCAAAAATCAATTGTTTGCTTTATAATCAACATCATGATGCGAAAGTAATTAATAGCAGATATAAAATAATTAACCTATTTACTATCTCATTTTAAATATAGTGAGGAACTACAGCAAGATGGCACTAATACTGTCATAATCTGTTGCACTTAACAAGTTCACATTTAAGCGGCTTCCATTTTCAAATATCAATATCACTGTGCATTTAGAAAGCCCAGTTGTGAAAACCTATTTTACTTAATTTCTCAAAAAACTCCTAGTTCAACCTACTTTTCCTTGGGAATTCTGAGTTGCTATATTATTTTCTCATCTTCACAACAATTAGTAATTATTGATCTCTCAAAAAGCAAAAACATAATGCAAAGTGAAAGAATTGTTATAATATGAAGGCAAGAGAACAAATTTCTATTACACAAGTGATCAATACTTAAGACAAGTTGTTTATCTTAAACACAGAGCACACGATCACCATAACTAGCTCACCACCACAGTTATAAATATACATACACATTTTTCAAAATAAGTCTTTTAAATAAAGTAAAGTAATGCAAGCATCTTTATAGCTTAAGGATTTGAAAGAGTAATTAAATCAGAACCTTAAATTATCCATCTCTATAACTAGAAGAGCAAGTCCCAAGGATGTAAATATCTCACTGAGTGAGACAAGAGATGCTGAATGAATTATTAATTGCTAAGTAATTTCTTAATTTTAGGAGGTACCACCCAACACTGGCAAATAAATAATGTGATTTATGAGCCCACACTCTCACGCTGCTTTCCTAGAGTTCAATAAACGCATGCACATCCTAAATGTACCATGTGGATGTGATTTCTACAAGCCAGGAAACATAGCAGGACTCAGCAATAGCAAGTCTACCCCACCTACTTATTATTCAAGCACCAGTATTTAGAATCCCTAAAATGCCTGCTGAACACTGCGGCCAGCGGCCCCCTGGGGTTACTCCGAAGCAGAACCACATCTTTCCCCTCGGTGATTACTGAGTTTTAAGAAGGCAGGTAGCACGGGGTAGAAATTCTCTCGTGCAGCAGCAAGGTAACTCTTCTCTCCAAATTTGCAAAAAACAACACCCCTTCCCCATAGACACAGACACATCACCTTTTTTTTCTTTTTTAAGAAAGGAGGGGTTTTTTCAAATAGGTGCCTAAAACATGCTGCTTGCATGGGGATGAAAAATGTTATTTTTCTTCTACTTGCTGCTGTGTAAGATGTTTACAGATCTGATTAGAAACCTGGATGTACATAAAAAGTAGTGCTTTCAATGAGATTCCCTTAGCGGTATCTGCCTGCACAGACACATGAGTACATAAATAATACATATCTATGCAAACATGCCCACATTAACAAGGACACACACACACGCACACGTAGACCAGTAATTAAGCTTATACTGTTCTATAAGCCCCCTTGACATTTTTTAGCATGCATGTTATTCAGAACACAGGTTTTTTTTAAAAATAATAAGCAGCTGCATATAATGCAATCCAAAGTGACATGTTTACTTAGAGGAGCAGATACATTACCAGACGCATTTTGAAGTTTCTGGAGCACCTGCAGGTGAAAGGAGACTGTGGATCGGATGCTGGCACACGGTATTCCTCAGAATCACAGAGCTCCGTGTGGCTGTGGGGGAATGCGAGGCGAGTGTGCGGCTGGAAACCTTTGAGTTGAGCTCACTCTAGGCATCAGAAAGCCTCAAAGAGGGGAAAGAAAAAGGCAGCCCACAGACAGCTAGATGAGAAACTTCTGGCACCTCTCCAGCTCAGGAATGAATTCTCTGTAATTTGGAGACGTATAGTGATGGAAATGAAGAGAAACTTGGATTTACGGGGGAATTTGCTCAGCCATGCAGAAATGGGCAGGTAACAGGCTCTCAGCTCATTTTAAAACAGTCATTCAGGAACAAGACTGAATCAGAAAATTAACAGGCTTCCTCTTTTGAAAAAATAAAACGGCTACTCCAGCCAGCTTCCCAAGATGCCTTTACAAACTTCAAATGGATCATTCCATTAGCTATTTGTTGCACATTTTATTAATCCCAGTGCAGAGGTAAACTAGGAAATCTGATTCCTTTTATGTATAAAACTGGATGTATTGCTTCTCTTTATAATGCACTTTAGTCATATAAATACCTAGATTTACTTACAGAGTTCTCGTTTCTTGCGTAAAACCACTACCGTTTTGTCCAGAAAAATAAAAAAATGCTAAAAGGGTTGTTCGCAGCTTTTCAAGGAAGTGGAGAAAAAATGGTTTAATACCCAGAAGCTGAGCTGAGTACATATATATTTAAATGTAGAGTTTGAAGCAAAGAGAGTATAAAGGAGGAGCCCTGAGCCACTAAGTGGCACCTAAGAGATATAGTTATACATGAGCATTGAGCAGGCAGGTGGCTCAATCTATAAATATATACATAATTAAGGGTAGGGAGAAAAGAGCTTTGGAAATTAAGTTCTCACAAGCAATAGCTGTGATTTTATTTAGGCTTACAAATAGGCTAACAATTTCTGGGGAGCACACACGGACTTCACCTTGCCTGAAGAATTCCAAGCTCACAAACAGAGAGCGAGGTTGGAAGCACGGCACACTGGCAATATATATTCAAATGTAGTGAAAGAAAGGACGATATCACCATGAAGAATGTTGTCATATTGCATTGTGCCTGTGTGGCTTAACTACTCATCCAACCTTGCAAATGGCCATTTGCCTGGACTCAATAGCAAACGTGCTGCCGATGGGAGGGTGGAGGTGGGAGGCAGATACTATTTGTTTTACTACACACACACACACACACACACACACACACACACACACACACACCCCCTTTTGGAGGCTCAGGATTCAAGATAAAATGTTTAAGTTGAGCGTGGGAGTGATTCTTTTCAAGGCCATAGTTATCTCTAAGAAATTCAAAGTGGAATTAATAATGACCAATTAAGCTATTTGTTATTTTAACTCTTGAAGTCAAGGGCAGAACGGTGTTTATGTTTATTGATAGAGGGTCGACGGCAAGACTGCAGAAGACGGCCAGCTCACCTTTAAGCCTGCTCAATAAGCACGTATTGACCGAGCAGCCTCCAGGCCTCCTCCCGTTCCAGTGCCCAGTCCTTTTTGTCTAGATTTTTCTTATCTCTCGCCTGCCATCTGCTTCATCCATTCATTCAACAAATATCTAGTGAATTAGACACTCCACCCAATGCTGTGGAGAACACAAGGACACTTACGAAGAGACCCTCCCTTGGGGAGCTCACCACTGTTAAAGAATACCACAGGCCTCAGTAAGGGCTGGGCACGGGAGAATTACTTACAAATGCCATACCCACGGCCACCTCTCCTTCCATTCTGGATTCACTTTTGGTGAGGTGAAGCAAACAGAATTTGCATGTGTTTTGAAAAGTCTCCCCAAGTGAGTCTAAGTCCCTTCCTCCACTCCACAGGAGGCACGGCAATTCAAGGGAAATGGTACAAGCCCTCTAACAGTGGAGAGGAGGGTGGCCCAGCCACCGCTGCGCGTAGGCTCAAGCTACCCAGCTCCTCAAGCTGACTGCACGCTGTGTCTGCGGCTCACTGCACCCCGGGGAAGGCCCATAGCTAATCAGAGGGACCCAGAGCCTGGGTCTGCAGGATTCTGAATGGATCTGGTAGCCAAAGCTGAAGACAAAAGGTAGCCTTTTGGTTCATTCATATAACCTCTCTGGGCTGTTTCCTTATCTGTACAATGAGAGGGCAGGGCAGGCTTTGAGTCTATGATTTCTCTGCCAAAATGTACGAGTGCCTTCTCTGAGGAAGCCAGTTCTACGCTACGTTGGCACCTACACAAGCGCAATTCCAAGATCAGAATGCCCGACTTCTACTATCTTACTGCTTAATGGTACCTGGTCAGCTAACTGAATGTCATGAAGGTGGACCTTCGGTCTGAGGAACTAGGGACCTAGCACCATAGGCTTCTCATTGTCCAACTTCTCATTATCTGCCAACTTCCTCCATCCTTAACTTCAGCAACTGCCTCAGCTCCAACCCAAAGGATCCCTAATGGGAGACAGATTCTGGAATCTTCTAGCAGAGTCACCCAACCCCCTCTCTCCATGGCTGATCCTCTTCAAATGGGTATAAGGGCCTGAGGAGATAGGTTGGAGGCCTATAAGAACAGCTCCTCCAGGCTCTAGTTCTAATCTCTGTGGTGTCTCTCCTCAGAGGCATAAGAGGAGAGTATGGCCACACCAGCCTTAGATGGCCAGTCGGCCTCCCCGCCCCACTGTTCTTTGGCTGTCAGCACAGGCTCACTCTGGGCCTTGCAAGCCCGCCCAGTGTAACAATAAGAGTAGCTCAGAGAGGAAGTCACTCAGCCTCCCCCACTAACTATTCTGTGCCCAGCACCCTGTCATTCTCTCAGGAAGAAGCCAAGCTTGGCAGATATTTTAAAGACAAAGTTCATGCGACCAACTAAAATATAAACTTTTGCATGTAATAATTCTACTAATAGAAACAAATGTTTTCTATCTCCTCTAGTTCTCAGTTAAGAAAGCTAAGAAAACTCAACTTTGAAGCACAAATGTTCGAAGGTGATAGCACTGAGAGACAGCGGAGGCAGACAGATCTGAATGTGTAGACAGGATTCTCTACTCAGTGCTCACGCGTCTTTGGGTAAGCCATTTAAACTCTCTCATACTACTTCCTCCTCGGTAAAAGAAAAAATACCTACCTTCAAGTTATTTGGGGAGTTAAAATCTGTAAAGTGCCTGGCACAAAATTAGTTACTCAAGAAGTAAGAATTAATACTATAATGATCAAAAGTGTCCAAATGCCTTCAATACCCCCATTAGTCTGTGAAGACAGAAACTGCCTTAATCATTTTCATATCCCTCATACCCAGTATGCCAGGTGTTCCACATCCATTCCACAAGTTTTTATGGAGCGCCTACCACTCCCACCTAGGTACCAGGGACACAGCAATAGACAAAGAAGGGGTGCTCCAACCCTCACGTGGCTCACAGCCCAGCGAGGGACATGAAAGTTAAATAAGTTCCATGAGTAATTGAATATATGTCTTAGTTATCTCAGGTTACCATAGCAAAATACTATAGCTTGGGTGGCTAAAACAACAGACGCTTATCCGTCACAGTTCTGGAGGCTAAGAAGGCTGAGATCAAGGTGCTGGCGGATTTGGTTCCTGGTGAGGGCCCTCTTCCTGGCTTGTCTATAGCCGCCTTCTCACTAAGCGCTCACACGGCAGAGAGAGGAAGCTCTGGTGTTTCTTCCTCATCTGACGGGGACACTAATCCCCTTACAGGGGCTCCATCCTCATGACCTCATCTAAACCTAATCATTTCCCAAAGGTTTCACCTCTAAATACCATCATATTGAGAGTTAGGGCTTCAATATATGAATTTTCAAGGGACACATTTGCTCCATAACAAAATATAAATGAATTAATTAATTACTTAACGATAATCTTTTTCATTTTTTGTTTACAACAGCATCAAGGGCACAAATGGACGAAAATTTGTGACTGTTTCTGATAATTACCTTCAAACCTTAAGACTTGGGGGTTATGGTTGGCCCTCATTAAGTGGCAGGTTTCTCCCTAGAAGCTGTCCCATGAGACCCATCAGGATAGCTAGCCCAGGCAGCCTTTGATCTGAATTCATCATCCCTTCCATCCCACGGGCAAAACGTTCTGGTTCCTGGCCTCACTGTTTTACATCCAAGCTGTCTGAAATGTAATAAGGATTTTTTCTTAAAGAGCACCCGAGATTTTAATTAAAGTTCAGGGATCCAGCCAAGGATATTTTTCTAAAAGAGAAGCAATATCTGTTTTTGGAGACAGAACATTTCATAAGAGAGATTTCATATATTGTGATGAATGATAAAAAAGCAACATGAGCTGAACCCTCAAAGGAACCAGGCTGTGGAGTGGATGTGTGTGCATGTGTATATGTGCGCACACGTGTGTGCGTGTTTAATGCTCCACCTTCACAATGAAGACAGAGTCGGGGAGACAAACGCACTCTGGTTACTTAAACCATTCATATACTTAAGGCAGACAGTTAATGGAACAGCATAAGGGGCCTTCCCTTAAGGGCAGGAGATTATCTTTTGTTCTCCTTGGCGATTCCCTTTGATTTAAAAGGCTTTAACTACAAGGCTTCCTGCAACCTGCATTAGATAAGAATTCAGCTTCTCCAAGTGCTGGTCATTGATGTCTACCACACACCTAATAGAAAGGGACTGTGTAGGATACTGAGATTCCATGCCACTCACACTCAGGGAGAAATCTGAAATAAAATGATATCATGGCTGGAAGCTTGGCAATATTATTCTACCTATGAGTTTTGTTTTTTATAAATTCATGCTTGCTGCTTAGAAAATCCCTGATAATCCTCCTTAGTCAAGCCAGTCAGGGGCTACAGAAAGTGAGCTCCAAGGTCACCTGGCTTCTTCAATGGACCTGAAAAGCCTGCATCCACACTGGTGCAGACAGGAATGCACTCGTGACCATCTCAGGCCCACCTGGTGTCCTTCAATACTGTGAAATGGATACTGGGAGACCTGTTAGGAGTTGGCAGATGACCTCAGGCAAAAGGGCCAGAAGCTTGGAAACTTCTGGTGTCCCCCCATCCCCAGAGGCTGTGGCACTTCCATAGGGCCAGCAACCACAGATGGTTCCCTACTGAGACAGCTGAGGAGGAAGCAGCCATGGGTCTGGGCAAAGCCTTAGCCAAGGTGCTGGCTGGACACCAATCCTGGGCCTGTGGACGTGAAACAGGAAGCTGGGGTGGTAATATCAGCCTCATTT